TCGCTTCTGCCCACCAAAAAAACGACAAACCTGTCGCTGTAACGAGTAGTGGGAGTGGACCGCAGCAGCATGCCACGTGGCGGACGGGGGGACTGTACAGGTTCGGCAGCGGAACCTTTCGCAAGCCGCACGCGGTGGCGGATAAGCATGAGCAGGCGCACCAGCCGCGGGGAGAGCGCAGGCTCAAGCGGAGCGGGGAAAGCAGCAAGAGCACGCAGCGCGAGTGTTTTCCGCAGCAGACGCCGCCGCTAGCGGTGGAAGAGCCTAGGGGTTTGGATTCTGCAGCCCCAACAGCGCGGAGGTTTTCGCTCGCCAGGAGCGCTTCTGGCGGCACCAGCAGCAGCGGAAGCGACACTGGGGGCGGAAGCGGAGGTTTTTTCAATCCCCGCTCCGGAGGGTTCTCGCGCAGCAGCACCGCTTTTTCAGGGGGCGGTGGTGGTACTATCGTCGTTCCCCGTTCGCCGTCGCGCGCATCTTGGTTATTTGGCTCCACTACTCGTTCCGCGCAGGAGCGCAGCACCAGCAGGCTTTCCGCAGACAGCTCTATGTGAGCCTGCGCCTGACAAATCTGCAGTCTTCTTTCCCCGCACGGTGGGAGTGGGAGGGGGTACGCCATATGATGGATCACCGTACTTAGTGATGCTTAGAATGGATCACCGAAACTAAAGGCCAATCATTTATATTTGCCAGCAAGCTTGAGCCAGTCATGTCTGAGCCACTATAGGTTGCCATGGACTATGTCTGGGCACACATGGATATTAGCATGAATTTACGTGGTATTACTGCCAAATTCTGTATCTTCGGATTTGATTGGATACCAATTGGTGTTTTGAGAACTACAGAGCTAGCTGATAGATGGTGGGGAAAGATGTCAGATTGAATTATAATATAATCATCTTTAGTGCTTCAACACAGTCGTTTTTCCTTGTGAAACGTGGGGGCATACCGGAAAGGATACGGTAAAGCGTACAGCATAAGCTTCAAAACACGAGTGCGTGGTGCATTTGTCAGATTCTGTTCAAGTTCGATCCCTCACCGCTTTGCACCGTGGTGTAACGTTATTTAGTTATATGACACGGCAAACGAACCGTACATGCAACACTCTAAATGAGCGAAGTTTGAATGAGCGGTAGCCCTGGCTACAGTGCATGGAATTTCTGGTCTTGTGTAAGTAATCGAACCCCAGGAAGGTTGCAGGCAAATTTGCGCACGAGGTACACAACGGTTTATATAAAACGAATCTATATCACGTACGTTTGAGTGCGGCAAACTGTGCTTGAATGCAGTGTTCTAGCGTACGTGTAGGTGTTCTACAAACCGTCCTGTGAATAAATTCAAAGTCAGTATAGCGCAAGACAGGGTGTACCACTTAAAACATCTCCTAGGCAACAAGGTCTTCTCAAATGGCAACAGTATGACGAATGCCCATTGCCCACTGGTGGGGTGGTGTGGGATGGGTGAAAAAATCCACCCTCCCCACCCCAACCCCTTCCCTACTGCCCCCTCCTCCCTACTGTAGCTCTCCCTCCCCCCCCTTTCAACCATAGTACCTCTGGGCCCGTGGAGGCATTCTAGGAGCAATGGTCAATGCTCACGGCACGGGAAACGGCACATACGGCGATATATTTCATTTACCGGGAAGCTACCCGTCATTTCCAGTCAAAACACGAAATGCTACCTACTATTCTGGGATCTGTAGCTGCGGTGGTAAAGTCCCATGCTGCCCCTACACGTACCGCGCGAGCGAAGAGCAGATTGCTCTCTGAAAAAAAGGAGCGAAAGGGGCACTATGCCTGCTGGGCCGTCCTTTGGTACAGTTCACGCAACTGTAGATGCTGACAAATGGAACTTCTTGTAAAGATCATCTAGGCGAAAGTGCAGTGCACTACATACTGCTAATAATCACCACGGACATACAGAATGGTTTCTGGTTCCCCTCATCAGATTCTTATGTAGAATTAGAAAGCAAATGCCTAAAAGTTTCATCTTGCCCTCTAGAAGATTCCCTTTGTGCTGTTGGCACGCTTCAGCTCAGGAAGGGTCTCGTAAATAGAATGCCGTCACGTGGAGCATGAAAGCTTGTGTGACGAGGGGAAGACGGTTGTGTGGTCCTGGAAACGACCATTTTTGGACGGTTGTGTATGCTGCTTCAACGCTGCCGCTGCACTTGGTTCTTGTCCACTCCTGTCACTGTCACCTTGTGCACAACTCTGTGGTTCAGCTGACACAACTCCGTTCTCGTCTGAAATGAAGCAATTTTCTTTACAGTAGTGTAGTGTGTTGGTTGTGTGCAAACAAATCCAATGCTGCAGTGGTCCTTGGTGTTGTCAGTTAGCACTTCTTCTCGACCTCCCACTCCCACCCTCCCCAACCCAACCCAACACCTGCCCTGCTCCTCCTGATTGCTCTACTTTCGGCACAGCTGATCTACCTCCTTCCAGAACTTTGTGTGGTATCTTATATCTTTACGCAGCTCACATCCATGTGTGTGGTATCTTAGGTCTGGCATATGCATTTCACATCCTACTGCGTCCTTTCCGCAATTCCATTTACCTCTTTGCCTTAACTCGTCTGGTTACTCATTCCGTCACATAATCCTTCTGATTACTCGTTCCGTCGCGGACGAGTAGACGCGTCGGAGAGATGATGGTGCTTGCAAGCTCCGACGACCCTCACAGGAAACGCATTGGCACCAGAGATGGCTCAACCAGCGCGTCAGGGAGCGCGAACCTCAACTCTAGGCTCAGCGCCGCCTCCGCCGGCCGCGCCGACAACCAAGGCTCCGATACCGGTTGCAGGTGGGAGGAGATTCGATTTGACGTGACACCTTCACCTACAAATGCGTTTCAAAGCCAGGGCGCGGGAGTGTACCACAGCGCGCCGTTCCCTGAAGCGACAGCGGCAGCGAAGCGGCGCGGCGCGAGCAGCGGGCCAATGCTACCCGTAGATCTTCCTAGGTTAAGCATAGATGCCGTAGCGAGGAGCACCGACGTGGCTCGCGGTCTAGATCCATCTTCGGCGGATAATACCGCCAGTATCACCCATATTCCGCCAGAGATGGGTGGCGGTATCACTACTAGTGATGACGATTATCGCGGCGGTGGCGACGGCGCCGGCGCCGGCGGGTCGGACACCGCCGCGATAAGCGAGCGCGAGCGGCTATTTCTGCAGCAGCTTCGTCGAAGCTCCATCGCGACGCGGGAAAGGATTTTAACCAACGTCGCCGACGTGTGGATTTCGCACCAGGAATCGGAGTCGTGGTTAGGGCAACTCGAGAAACTCGCTTCAGCGCAGCAAAGCGACGAACATGTACACGTAACGACGCGCTACGGACAACAACAGCATGCCACGAGGCGAGTCGGCGAAAACCCTCGCAAGGCGCAGCCGATGGCGGAAGGCCAGCAACAGCCAACGGGGGATCCGCAGCCCGCGGAGATTCAAGCTGCGCACCACCTGCACGGAGTGCGCAAGCTTAAGCGGAACGGCGAGAGCGCCAAATCCGCGCAATTTGAGTATTCGCCGCAGCAACCGCTGTTTCCGCCGGCAGAGGAGCAAATATTCGCGCGCACTAGCACGGCCCCTAGCGGCAGCAGCAGCATCACCAGCATCACCAGCAGCGTCGGCAGCGGCAGCAGCAGCGGCAGCGGCAGCAGCGGCGGCAGCGGCAGCAGCGGCGGACGTAGTACCCTAGTTTCTGGCGCGCTGTCGCGCAAGTCGTGGCTCTTTGGCTTCTCGAGCCGATCCACGCAGGAGCGCAGCACAAGCAGGCTCGGCGCGTCTCCGCACGGCGGATCTTCGTGACCTCCCTGCGCTGACCCGCGCTGCGACCGTCCACCCGTCCTGCCTTTAGATCTTCCCCCCTCCCGCACCCACCCAAGCCCTCCATCCCATGAGATTATGGGACCCTTGCTCTGACCGTGTTTGCCGCCCTCGCTCCTGTATTTATGAAGTGAGAGTCAAGGTCTATATCGAATCAACAAGCATGTTGAGTCACCGTCACGGAAAGGCCAAGTGCGATAGTATGCGGAAAAGATGCAAAATAGTATACTTGAGTTCGGGCCGAGCCTGTTGGAAACCTTGACACCATTCTTGCAGCAGCAATGTTTGAGTTTGTAGCTGTTGGTAGGGTTGCGTGTGTACCATCCTATTAGCTGTTTCGGGCTCCATTTGTGAAGTCTGTGGATTGCTTGCCACCAATGTATAGCTCAACACAGCTTACACAGCAGACAACATTTTAAATGCCATGCAGCACGAGTAATGCTAGATATCCGTAAATCCATGACCACCATCATATTAGCTAGGTATTCCGTCTTACTGCTAAAACCCCATAACCAAGACCCACAAGGGGTGATTGTCTAGACCCGATTGACCGCAGCTAAGCCGTTCACCCGTAAGCAAGCATCTCACTCTCCTTTAATCTCTGGTGGGTCGATAGGCGACGGCAGCGGCGCTTGCGCCACAACAAAGATAGCCCGAGCTGTGTTCAGCGATGACAGCATGTTAAACGGTGACTGCAGCGAGTCTCTCACTCTCCTTTGATCCCCGGCGAGTCGATAGGCGACGGCAGGGGCACTTGCAAGATGGCATTTGAGTCGACTCAAAGGCCACATTTGAGCCTGCTCATCCTAAACGAGTCTCTCACTCTCCTTTGATCCCCGGCGAGTCGATAGGCGACGGCTGCGGCGCTTGCGCGATGACATTTGCGTTGACTCAAAGGCCACATTTGAGCCTGCTCATCCGGCCCTAAGTGACCCTCTCACTCTCCTTTGATCTCCGGCAAGTCGATAGGCGACGGCAGCGGCGCTTGCGCCACATCAGAAAAAACCCGGGCGGTATGCAGCGGCGACAGCATGTTAAATGGCGACTGCAGTGAGCCTCCTACTCTCCATTGATCTCCGGCAAATCGATAGGCGACGGCAGCAGCGCTTGCGCCACGTCAAACATAACCCAGGCGGTGTTCAGCGGCGACAGCATGTTAAACGGCGACTGCAGCTAGTCTCTCACTCTCCTTTGATTTCCGGTAAGTCGATAGGCGACGGCAGCGGCGCTTGCGCCACGTCAGAAAACACCCGCGCGGTACCCAGCGGCGACAGCAAGTTAAACGGCGACTGCAGCTGACCTGGCGAGTCGCGGCCCATCGGCCACCTGGCGCCGCCCGGGCCAATCAGAATGCGCAGTGAATCCCGAGGGAGAGAGGGAAGCCACATGGGCGTGGGGAGGGCTCCTTGCATGAGGGCAGAGGGGAGCGGGCCGGTATACCCGGGAAAGGGATTACTGGGATTGCCAGAGGAGTTCCCAGAGGTGCCTGCAGAGACAGAGGCGTCAATAGCAGATGAGCCAATGGCAGAGGCCCATGCACTGGGATTGGACTGGGCGTCCCGCGGCTTGATGTCGATACTTGGTTGGCTATCCAACTCCTCCTCCCCTCCCTTCCCGCTCCCGCCACCCGCATTCCCACTCCCATTCGTGCCGCCCTCGTCCATGTTCCCAATACCCTCTGTCTTTGCACGGTTCGCATCAGCTCCCTCCTCTCGCTTCAAGTCTGCTTCTGCACTATTACCTCCTCCACCTTCTCCTCCTGGCTTATCCACTCCGCTCCGCAGGCCTGCTGCCGTTGAACCATCTGCCTCCCCCTTTTTATCAGCTCGGTCTGATGCTGACGGGGCACCACAATCACCACCACCCCTCTCTCCCTCTAACTGCTTCTCCTGCTTCTGCTGCTGCTGCTGGTGCTGCGTGTTTGAAGTCAGACCATCAGAAGACACGGCAAGTCCTAGGCACGCTTCTTGCTGCTCACTCTTTTCTCCTGCCCGTGACTGTTGTGCCTGCAGTGTGGCTTGGGCACCGGATGGTAGAGCACAGACAGCAGCAGCAGCAGCAGCAGCAGCAGCAGCCCCACCAGTTACAGCAGCAGCAGCAGCACCACCACCACTACCACCACCGCTACCACCACACACCACTTGCTTTCCCGCTTCCTCAACCGACCCTCTCGTTACTCCACTCCCATTGCTTTCACCGCTCCCCACTCCCTTCAACCCATCTCCCTGCCCAAAACCCGACAGAAAATCGCGGCCTTTGGGAGTGCTCTGCTGTTTCATCCCCCCATTCTCCCCACCAGTCGTCTCCCCTCCGTTCGCCCCGCCTACCCTGTGACTCGCCCCCCCCTTGTCACTCACAGGAGACGCGAATCCCTCAGAAAACTCTTCCCCCATGTCTGTAGGCTCGTGGCTGTGACTGTGACTGTGCCCATGGCTGTGGCTCCCGCTCGCTTCTACCACCACCCCTGGTCCTGCTTGCACCTCGCCTCCTCCACCCCCTCCTTCTCCGCTTCCTCCTCCTCCTCCCAGCCGCACTTGGAGAATGTCAAAAGGGGGTTGCTTCACTGCCTGTGCTGCAGTGCCTATCGCTCCCGCAGCACCAACAGCAGCAGGAGCTGCAGAGGCAACCTCAGGAGCAGCGGGCACAGCAGCAGCAGCAGCAGCAGCACCCGCAGCAGCAGCAGAGTGGGGAGCAGGAAGCGCCAGGGAAGGCGGTGCAGCCGGGGCGAGAAGAGACAGCGGCGAGGGAGCAGCAGCAAGAGCACCAGCACCACTACCACCACCAGCACCAGCACCACCACCACCAGCCCTAATAACACCGGCAGAACCAGCAGCGACGGCACCAGCAGCAGCACCAGCAGGAGCAGAAGGAGGGGGGGGAGCGGGGAGGGCGGCCGTTCCATCCGTGGGCCCGTCATGAATGATGGTGATGGTGACGGGGCGAGGCGGCGGCTTGGAGTGGTTGTGCTCGCCCACGTATTTAATGCGCCAGTTGAAGGGGTTGTCGTTGCACCTCTCCGCCCACTTCTTGGCCGGACAGGGATGCGACCCTGTGGTCTTGTGTGCACAACGGAAGTAGCTCCTGTGATTGAAGGGAGGAACAGGTGGGCGAGGGGAAGGGGGGAAGGGAGAAAAGGGGAAGAGGGGAAGCGCGGAAGAGGGGAAGAGGGGGAACAGAGGACGAGGGGGAAAAGAGATAGGGGAGAAGGGAGAAAGAGGGGGTGAGAGAGAGTGGGAGGTTATGCTCGCCCAAGTATTTGATGCGCCAGTTGAAGGGGTTATCGTTGCACCTCTCCGCCCACTTCTTGGCCGGACAGGGATGGGAGCCAGTAGTCTTGTGTGCACAGCGGAAGTAGAGAGAAGAGAGGGAGGGGAGCGGGAAAGAGGGGAAAAGGCGAAGGGAGGAAGAGGGAAGAAAGGGGAAAGGGGAGAAGAGAGAAAGAGGGGCTCAAAGAGAGAAAGCGGGGGTGAGAGTGAGTGGGTGGTTTGTGTTGGCCGACGTGCTTGAGGGCCAGTTGACGGGGTTGTCGTTGCACCGCAGGAGAAGAGAGATTGGGAGAGAGATACTGCAGGAGAGGGTGCATGGCAGGAGAGGGTGCATGGCAGGAGAGGGTGCATGGCAGGAGAGGGTGCATGGCAGGAGGGCAAATGGGGCGTGCAGCACGGCAAGTGGGAGATGACAGGAGGGCAAGGCAGGTACCTCGGGTAAGTCTGGCCGAGCGTGACCTTCTGGGCGTACTTTGAGTCGACTCAAAACACACCTTGCAAGCAACGCAAGAGCATGGCATCACAGCAAGTGGGAGACGGCAGCAGGGCAAAGGCAGCAGGGCAAGGCCGGTACCTGGGGTAGGTCTGCCCGAGTGTGACCTTCTGGCCGTACTTGCGCCACTCCCACCCATCCATTGGCATTTCCGGTGCTGACGGCTTCGACGATGGCATGCGCGGCCTGCCAGGAGGGGTGGGCGGGGAGGGGAGGAGGGAGGAGGAGAGGAGGGAGGTGGGTTAGAGAAGGGTGGGATGAGATGCGCCACTCCCACCCGTCCATCGGCATCTCCGGTGCCGATGGCTTCGAAGACAGCATGCGCGGCCTGCCAGGAATGGGGCAGCGGAAAAAGAGGGAGGACGGGGGGGTTAGGCTGGGGATCACAAGAGGTGGAGGAGTGCAGAGTGAGTGGAGTTCTCTCTCCAGTGGTCCTCAGGCACGATCAGCTCACATACGGTACCACCTACGCATCGCGCACCTCTTGTGTGCAACGCACGCACCTTTTATGCAGCACTGCTCCATCGTCACCGTCCTCCTCTGCACCACCACCACCGTTACAAGTACCGCTTGAACGCTTTCAAATGATCTTCAAATGGCTTATGCGCTACAAACTTTTTCTGCACCACATACCTCTTGTGTACAACGCACGCACCTTTTATGCAGCACTGCTCCATCGTCACCGTCCTCCTCTGCACCACCACCACCCCCTCCAGCACCGCCACCAGCACCACCGCCAACAGCAGCAGCCGCAGCACTCCGCTTTGTCCCGCCCCCACTCCCACCCCCTGCACCCGCGCCTGCTTTTACACCCTCCCCATCTCCCCCATCACCCGCGCCCTTCCCCCCGTCCTTCCCCGCATCCTTCCCCACGCCCACTCCCCCTCCTCCCCCGCCCCACCCCTGGAACCCCCGCCCTTCCGCGTGCGGGTGGTTCCCCGCGCCCCCTTTCCGCTGCCCTGGATGCTGCCCCCCGTGCTGCGGCGGCGGATGCGCCTTCTGCGCGCCCTCGGTTGGCGGAAGCGGTTTTTGCGCCCCCCCTTCAACCCCCAGATGCGATTTCTGCGGCGCCTCAAAGCCCTGATGCTGCCCTGCGCCCCCTCCCGCCGTTCCGCCCCCTCCCGCGGACATCCATGCGCTCGCTCCGCCACGTCCTCCCTCCTTGCCTTCCGCGGACGGCGCAGGCGCAGGGGGCGCGGGGGACCCCATTCCCCCTGTGCTGCCCCTCCCGCCCAGGCTTCCCCCCATCGGGGGGGGATGATGCATGGTGTTATTTCCCCCCGGGCGCGGCCAGAACGCGAGCCCGTGCGGAGACATCCACATCGGCGGAAGCACAGGGGGACCTGGAACCCCCGCGCCTCCCGCTCCTCCCGCCGCCGAACCCGGGCCTCCAGGCGCCGCCGAACCTCCTCCGCCGGAGCTGCTCATCCCGTCCGCGTCCGAAGGCGGTGGAAGCGGCGGGTGCGCGGAGCCCGGGGGGCGGAAGACGCCGTGCGGGGGAAGGACTCCGGGCGGCGGAAGGGGGAACATCCCGGGCGGAAACGGCATCATTCCGTGGTGCCCCATCCCGTGGTGATTCATGCCGTGGTGATTACTCATCCCGGGGTGATTATTCATCCCGTGGTGATTGTTCATCCCATTCAGCTGCTGCAGCACTGACGCGACGACGTCGCCCACGCTGCGATCCGAACCAAGGTTCATTTCGCCAAGCATTCGCAAATGCATCCCCAGCTCCTCGGGGGTAGGCCGCCCCGACGCTCCTGCTGCCGCTGCTGCGCGGAAAGCGGCGGAAGCGGCGGCAGCAGCAGCGGCGCCGGGATTGGCTGGAGCAGATGCGTCGGTTCCGTTGCACGCAGCCACGGGAGATGCGTTGGCGGCGGGAGCGGACGGGGCGGCGGAACGCGCGGGAGAGGAGGGGTGAGTGGCGGGATGACCGTTGGGGTGGTCGGGGGGGAACGATGCCGCGTTGTCGCCGTTGGAGTTGCTATCCCCGTTCTGCTGCTGCTGCTGCTGCTGCTGCTGATGGCTCTGATTGTGGTTCTGATGCGCATTATTGTGCTGCTGCTGCTCGTGCTGATGCGGATGCGGCTGCTGCGAGTACGAGTTGTCCTGTTGGTCCACGTGTTGCTCCTCAGCGGAGCGCGAGTGTGGGGGCGATGCCACGTCAGCGGGGGGAGATTCCGCGTCAGGGTTCGGGGGTCCGAGTAGAGCCTGGCAGCTTCCTAGGGCCTCCATCGCTGATTGGACCAGATCTTGAGCTTCTGCCACGTCACTGGAAAAGGGCAGGAATAACGGGAGAGAGAAATCAATGAACCCTGAAAGAAACGAAAAAAGGCAAAACACGTAATCTAGGGAGGTGAACGATAAAGAGGGAAGACGACGCAAAAGGCGACCGTCAAAGGCGGCAGGAAGAGACAAAACAGAACCATAGCAGTCGAGCGGAAGATTGTAAGCAGACCAGTTGAAACCTCGAGCATTCTCGTCAAAAGAAGACGACGACGACGAAGACGAAAGACGAAAGAGCAATAGCTCGACTTGAAATACCGCGATGTTTAAGAAAGACATTATAAATCAATCTCACCGTCAACTTTCAAAAATCAATCTCACTCAAGACAAACCGAAAACATGCTTCTCTGCTCACCGGGTAATGCTTGACCCGGAAAACACTGCTTAACTTCGTTCTGATAAACTTCACAACGAGAAGGCTGGCTACTCACCGGCTAAGGCTCTCATAAAAGTCCGGGTCCGCTTGTCCCGGAAATTAAAGTCGAGTCTGCTAATCTTAAGTCTAACAATGACTCCACAATAAAAAGGCTCTCACCGGCTGAGGCTCTCATCGAAGTCCGGGTCCGCTTGTCCCGCGGTGCGCTTCGCCATCTCGACACGTAGATACATGGTATTAGCGTGCTTCATCAGCACCTTGGCGTGCGAGTTTGCCAGCGTCGTCGCGTCTAGAAGCTTCTTACACAGCGTACTTAGCGACTCTAATTGGGTCTCCATGGTCGGAGCGTGGATCGAGTCGCCGGACATTAATCTACAGTGTAGGCGGCTCGGCTGATTTCCGGGCAGCTCTGTGAATATACTATCTTGGAAGTTTTGAAATTCCGGGGCTTTACAATTTTGCGCGGTTTAGATGGCCTGGATCCAGCCTCACACTCGATTCAAATTTCTGCAATATCCAGCTCCCTAAAACTTTTCCAATTCTTGCTGACAGTGAAAGCTAAATCAGCTAAACGTTGCCAAAAAGGAAGGAAAAGCTGTGGGGAAAGGGTACAGGAAGAGACAGGACGAGGAGCAGGTGTAAGGGAGAAACGCCAAGGAACGCGGGACAACAGGCCTAAGCTGAGAAACACGACAAAAAAAAAGTGGGGAAAAAAAGGAGATCCGGCAATCGAGTTCCTAAAATACTAGCCGTCTACGCGGGGCGCCATGATCCTCACAAGCGGAAGCGCACATCCAGGGTTACAGAAACCACAGCTCACAACCCACAGGAACGCCACACGTTCACACATCAATCATCCAAACGCGAGAATTGGGAAAGAAAGCAGAAACAATGGCAGAGCAGGAGAGAGTCAAGACGTTCTTCTAGTGTCTCGGGATCTGCGAGCGGTCAAAGACGTTCGTGAGGGTTTGGTGAGTTCCCTCCGCTGCCAAACCGCCAGGTCCAGGTCCGGAAACAGGTGGTGAGGTGAGTGGCCCCCAACCGCGTCAACTGCCCTTGCTTGCTGGACGGGGCCAGTAACCACTGACCAGTCACAGGCTCCCCGCGCCTGCCTCCGATTTCATCTCGCCACCCTCAACCAAACCCGTTGAAAGCACCCGAACCAGACTAAAAAATGCTCTGATCCACCCAGACCAGATTCCACGTCAGGTGCTCGTCGCCGAGCCAGGCTGCAGTCCCGGGCTGCAGCTTTTCAAGTTTTTTGGGGTGGAGGAAAGGCGTGATGTGTGGTGCGGATAGGTTTTATGAAGGGCCGTGGTCTACACATCAGGGGATCACGTGGAGCTGTATCACCTGTCCACACCAAACCGTCAAAGGGCACGATGGGCGGCTGTTACTGCATTTCATCCGTCGATGTGATTTCTGTAACGGTTGAGATTAATTCCGAATTTCGACCATCGAGAACAGTAAACTGTTCTAAACTGTGGTATGGATAGTGTACGGTTTGGATTAGCTGACAAAGATGCGTTGATCGGTGGCGATGTTCTTGCTGGTCAGGAGAGTTTGATTGGCCACGGAGTGTGCAACTGAGCCCAGAAAGTCCCTGGGGTTTCAAGGGCAACCAAAATCACTAGGCATTATTTCAAAGTTAGAACCCTCCCGTCACATATTTTTTTTTTTTAATGCAATCGGTGGACCTTTGTGGACCTGGCCCTTTTGGAGCTGAGCATCCGGACCCGGCAAAGGGGAAATAAAAAAATAAAAATCAACTCCACCTTGTTCAAGAAACATCGCATGTTTTGTCTCTTCTCGTCTCAAAAGGACGTGCCCTTCTTTCCGCATCGAAACCTCCCCCTTGTACTGTACCTCAGCGCTGGAGAAAAGGTAAGAATCAGGTTTGTCAAACCTCAATTCCTGCTTCGGCAGCCCCAAGTTCCAGCGTGTTGCTTTTCTGGACCGCGTAGAGTGTATGTGGACATGTTTATAAGAAAAGGGGTTCATATCCTAGAGTGAGATGGAGGCTGCGTGAGTGAAAGGCGTCAGCATTTGGTGGTTGTGCAAGTAATGGAAGCTTCGGGCGGTCAAGTCCTTCAACGCCACGGTATTTGAGCTGCCCAAGAGTGACAGCGTGTCAAGGAAATCGTGGCTAAGGGCGTGTCTGAAGTGCAAACGTCGAGTTTCGTCAAATTTCGTCGACGAAACTCATCCGTGGGACCCACGCGTGTTGGTGTCTGAAGTGCAAACTGACATCCCTCGACGAAACTCGACGTTCGTGCACATGTCGAGGGATGTCGAACAGTGATACCGGGCAGCTGTTTGAGTCACTGTAGTCAGTGAGTGTTTCAAAAACAATTCTTCGACACGCCATGTCTGCATAGCTGTGGCAAACACACGTGAATAAGAACTAAGACGAGAGCGACACGTGCTAGAGAAATTTCGCTGGCAATGTGACAGTAGAATATCCGGTGTTTCCAGCAACAATCTATGCTAAGCGAAATTCGCGAGATTGCAAACAATTGAGTTACATGAATGATTCTGTTAATTCCACGTCGAATTTTCATGGGCAACTTATAACAGTGTTCCTATGGCACGTGTGGGTTATTTTGTCGTGTGGGTGTCTGAAGTGAACACAGCTGAAAACGGATGTCGAGTTTCGTCAAGGAACGTCGACGAAAGTTTCGTCGGCAAACGTCGAAATTCACTTCAGACACGCCCTAAGCCAATTCTTGATTGCCAGCACATCGTGATCATGTAGCTAGAGTCGCAAGTCGTCGCTAGCCATGCTGTGTTGTACTTGGGATCATGCAGTAATCCGCGTCACCCACCCCTTCTTGGTAATCCTCGTTATTATAGGTGTACCATATATACCTGGATAACGAAGACTGTTTGTTCATGCTTATATAAAATTACTAGAGCGATCGTAACGGCTGGATCAACTTTTTTAAAACACGCGCTTCCGCGAAATTGGTTTCGGTGATATCGTCCCCACCAGCATGCGAATTCGTGGGGCCTCCCCTGTCGCCAATAACATGCCCCGCCTGCGCCAATTCGAGCCTCTGCACGGTTTTGCACAGTCGGCATCTCCACCAGAACCGAATCGCGCACCAGAAATCCAGATTCCGAATCCGCTCCATGCAATCAGCTTCCCAAATCTCCGTCTCCCAAAACTCGAAACCGTAGGCACAAAATTCTACAAGCAAGCAGAAACCAGCTCCGTTACCATAAGAATTCCCAATGCTCTTGCTCATAGAATGCTTTACTGCTTGACGTTTCACCCTACTAGTCCACTCACTCTGCATCCGAAAATCCTCGTCAATCAGCTGCATGTCCGCTGCCACCCACGCACACAAGCAGCCCGCCATCATGGCGCTCCCCTCTCAAACCAAACGAGTACGCCATCGATACGGTCCCAACATCCGAAAGAAGCTCGACGCTTTAGGAAACCCCACGCCGACGACGGATTTTCCCGCTGAACCTTCCATCTTCTCCGCTATCACCACCTGGATTTCTCGCCGCCTGCGACCCTCCTCCAGCGGCGCTGATTCTAAGCATCGTGCCACGAATTCCAAGCCCTCGACACGCTTTTCCAGACGGCGAGGTAGAACAGGCGCGCAGCACGGGGACGGAAGCAGCGACGCCGTGACTCTGCACTCCGTAGGCGACAGCGAGATGCACGGCGACGACGACAACTATTACGACGGGGATGAGCGAAGCGAGTGTTCTTCGTGGACGGTTTCACAGCATCCTGTCGCGTCGACTCCAGGAACTGAGCATCGGCGGTCGACCCGGCGAACGAGGAGGACGACGACGAGAGCGACGACGAGCCGCCGGGATTCGCGGACGGCATCTGTGGGATATCCTGCTAAAGGTAGTAAGCTCTTCGCTTACCCTGCGGCTTCTGCCCGGGTGTACGACGAGTCGCTCCTGTCGGACGACGAATCGTTCGCGATTGGGGATCGTGATGGTAACCAGGTACCCGGTGCGCCCATGAGCACCGCCTCGTCTGACAGTGTTTCTTATGCCGGGAACTAAGAGAACACGTGGCGTTATCCGTTCACGAGCTTTCCAAATCGACAGTGTGTACAGCTGCTGGGTCGACAAGTAACACAACCTTGTCTGCGATAGACGGATGGACAGGAGCATCACCTCCAGAAGACAAGCCCTCGGAAAGAATATTCCCCTTTTCATCTATTTTAGAAAATTCTGTGTCTACACTACAGAGTGTGATACTGGACGCTTTCAGCTGGTGTGCTGTGCATGGTCACCATCCGTCTACCCAAGGTGGTCAAATACTAGCGTGGTCCACTCAGAAGTTTCTGTGCAGTTCAATTTGGCGTCTCGCTTAGTTCGTCAGTTCAAGTGATTTGAGTGACGCAACAAAACGACTACCACCTTTCTGTCACTCTAAAAATACTGGATATACATAATGTATTGTCTCCTGCAATGACATGCATTCAAGGTATTGTTGCACAATCTCAACTTTGGGGGCCTGGAACTTGTACGTAACTACCCTATTGTCATTGCTTCGCGTACAGGGAACCAATAGCGAAGATTCATTTGTACGTTGCTGACATGGCAGTCATGTCAGCGGCAACCAATTGACCAATAGCGAATCGCACAGAAAGCCGTAAGCCACGTCAGTAATCCCTCGGATGGTTGTGGTGTGGATTCTTTCCTCGCCACTTCGAGTAACCACGCCGCAGTGCGTACGAACGAATTCGCCAAACGTTTCGCCAACAATTATCACCACGATATTCGTGAATGATCCTTGCCCAGCCCAGTGCCGCACCGCCATATGCATTATTAGCTCAGCGGAACTTCAGCTTCTGACTCAGTAGATGAAGCTCGTGTGAAGCTCGTGTGCTGTTCTCTCTTGCTTCAAATAGTTAGAAACGGGGGCCGAAATAGTAGAGCGAGGCGTCCTTGATCTCGTCGTGACTATCTTGGACTACTTCCAGAACTGATTGACACGCATCTTACGGTTCTACGAGATCCACTGAATCCAGTTCGCGCAGCGGCTCCCCCTATTGTCACTCAGCTGCATTCACAATGTTCGACGAAACTGGCAATCCAAGTGTTCAAGCTGCCCACGGTCACATCACTTTATTTCGAACTGGTGTTCCTTCAGGTGTTTCTTCAGGTGCTTCTTCAAATGCCCAGCCATGCTTCTTCAAATGCCCAGCCATGCAGTTTTATCGTCCAGCATTACCCGGCAAATCAACAAGTTATAGGCAATTTCCAGGAAGGATCGGATAGTTGTTCTTTTCACGAGCGTCGAAATTCCTCTTCGTGCAATCAAGTGGTCGACACTCCTTCGATAGTAACGTCGGACTCGAGT